ATTTCAATTTCAATTTCCATAGCTTCCTCTTTTTCTAGGGTTTCTGATCCGAAATGGCCCTCGTGCATAATCTTACAACACAACAGATCCTTGACGTGGACGACCCATGTCAAGCCTATTTTCTTTTCCATGCCGAAACTTCACTTGGACATGGGCTTCGTGCATTTTTGTATTTTCTAGCACTTGCTTATTGTTTCCTTGGACTCTCGGCCATAACTGCAAGGTTTTTTCGATCCATGGAGCATGTTGTGCAACAAACTCGGGTGGTGGTGGAGATTCATCCTACCACCCATACAMAAATCGTCAAACATGAAAAAGTCTGGAATTTTACAATTGCAGACATTACACTCTTGGCTTTTGGAACCAGCTTCCCACAGATCTCTTTGGCTACTATCGATGCAAYTAGGAATATTGGCCAACTCTATGCTGGAGGTTCAATTCCTTTTTTATATGCTCTTGTCTTTTTTTTATTTCACTCAATTTATCACAGAAACAAACAATWGCACAATCAACTTCTTTTTGTTTGTTTTTGATTTGGATGAAAAATTATTTCAATGTTGTTGTTGTTTTTGACACTAAACAGGTTTAGGCCCTGGAACACTTGTTGGTTCTGCTGCCTTCGACCTCTTCCCCATCCATGCAGTTTGTGTGGTGGTTCCAAAAGTTGGAGAAGTGAAAAAGATATCAGATCTGGGAGTTTGGATAGTAGAACTCTTTTGGTCCTTCTGGGCATATATTTGGCTTTACATAATCTTGGAGGTGAATTATTGCTATAATATCTCTCTCTCTCTCTCTCTCTATAGATATATATACGTTCTATGTACTTGTTTGAATAACAACTCAGCTTTCCTCCATTTGCAGGTATGGACTCCAAATATTATCACTTTGTGGGAGGCCTTGTTCACAGTGCTGCAATTTGGGTTGTTGCTTTTACATGCTTACGCCCAAGACATGCGGTGGCCCTATATATCTCTTCCTCTGTATGCAACTGTTTTCCATCTTTTACTTGTTATTGCCTGCATGTCTCTAGGATTTATATTSTATTTTCCTCTTTATCCATCTATGTTTCAGGGATCGAACCGAAAGACCGGTGGACTGGGTACCAGCAGAGGTCTCTCCACGCAAAGATGGAAACGACAGTTTCTCTCTTCAAGATGATTGTGACCAAGATAAATGTATTGCAGATATATTTTCCATCCACTCAGGAACTGAGGCAGGTAACTTTTGGTATTACTTGACCCACAAAACTTAAAACTTGAAATCTTTCTCAGTTGTCACACGCATCTTGAGTCATCCTATGCCAGATTGAAATCTACTTATTTCTGGGTTTTGTGAATCATCACAAATTGAGAATGTAATTGTGAACCTGTAATTTGCAGATCCTATGTATGAACATCTACCTCTAAGTGATCCATCTGAGTCSCCTGATAAGCATTTTGATGAAACAACCATCTATGATGTTTTCTCAGTTTGGAAGCACCAATTTGTYGATGCTCTCATGGTACCWCATCATTCCATCAGATGAAATGTTCTCCAATACTATATATATAATCCCCCCCTCCTTCCCCTAAAAATTGGGAGTTGTTTTTTTTTATTTAAAATAAAGTGTAAAACCTGTTCATTCTAATATATATATATATATATATATATATATATATATA